CGTCTCAGGTGTGAAGTGATGGACCCATGTTTCACCCATGGTTATGAATCGACGCAAAAACTCGGCTTTATTGCTGCGAAACTTCGCCAAACACTCGATTGAAACATCCTCACGACGCTGATTTTGTTCCAATCGCGGCACCCATCTTGCGCACAGCTTTCTCATGTCCAAATTTTTAGTCAATATGCGATGTACAGCACTTTTTGAAATGCCTACCATGTCTGCTAACTCGCGCACTTTCAGTCGACGGTCATCCACTACCATTTTGTGGATTTTCTTCACCATTTCTGGCGTGGTCACCTCATTTGGTCGACCACTGCGATGTTCGCCTCGGCAGCTCGTACGGCTTCGTTTAAACTCTGCCACCCAATATTTTACTGTTGTAAACGAAGGAGCAGACTCCCCCAGAATGGAATCTAGCTCCGCTTTGATATTGGTTGGACTGAGGCTTTTCAAATGAAAATATTGTATCACATAACGATGACTAATTTTTTCCATGTTTACAAATTCACTGAGAGCGTTTGATGGCTGCCAAACAAATACTAAACAACGTAGCGTCGTCAAACTTCAAACTTAAGCTTTATAAGGTTGGTACTTTCTATCATAGTCATTCTTTTCAAACAGCAACCGCTATCTGTACGTCAGGTTAGGTACTTCTGGGACTACCCTCGTATGTCGTCAGATTCCTCCCGACGTGGTTTATTAGCTATCGTGCCCATCGGACTTTCCGAATCCCAGGCTCTCGAGGGTGCTAAAATAGAATCGTCCACGTTGAGGGCGAGCGAGATGACGGCTGTTACATTCCCGGATGCGTACTTCTACTTCGTTTCCTCGACGTTCAAGCGAACAAGTGCGTTCTCCTCTTCGACGATAGCTACGGACGGCAACGACGGCGACGGTGACGGCGACGACGACTTTCGACGGGAACAGGCGGCAGTTCGTGCTTCGTGCCAGAAGCCGATTTCACGTGTCTGGCCCACGAGTGTGTCGCGTGTATCGAATGTACACTCTCGAGGGGGGTATAAATAGGTCCCGTGTGCAAATATCGCGGTCGTTGCTACTGAGAGACGTGCCTCGAAAGTGATCCGCGGGCGCGAGTCGAACGCGGCCCAATCTACATCCGGCGACGCCTTGATTTTATGCCTTTCTGCGCTCGCACGTTTAGATTATCTCATAAATTCCCCTCTGCCCCGTTGCTGTTCCGGAGGACACAACAAGGGAGAAATTTCGGCTGAACGCGAAGTACGCAAACGATTTCTCACAGAGAAGGAATCTCTGTCGAATCGACCAAAGAGTCTCTAGGTGAAAGGAACGACGGCGAAGAGGAGCAGCGGGAACACCTCTGTATAGGACATTGCATCGACCGCACGACGCTCGGGCTCTATCGATCATTCGTTGCCTCGTTTTGCTTATTTTCTCGATTAAAGCAAACATATGCGGTAATAGCAACGGTAATAGCAACAGTTCGCGTAGTAGCAAGTACTCCGCGGTGTGTTTTCCACTTAATGGATTGCACTCGCGTCGTCTCGATCCCCCTGCTTCCCCTTCTCGTCCCCTTGCCGTTTTCGCTTGGACGTTGTATTACTTCGGACGATGTATTCCCGCTTCTGAATATGCGGATTACATACGCAACCGGACGGACACCATAAAGAGAAAGAAGAAATGTTCCGACCGTTTATATGTCACGGTGCCGCTCCTAGCGGTACACCGTGTACATGGACGACGGACGTTATTGTTATGCAGGCGAGCGCACTTTCTTGTCGAGCGAATCGACACGGTTTGTGTGCGCGATTGCTCGATCATAACGCACACAGATACACACACGGTGGAATCGAGAGCACCGGAGATCCGCGACAAGAGCTCTTCGTGATTCGACGAATCGCAAATGTTGCGAATGAGTCGCAGAATGGCGTGAAGAAAAATGTGAGCAGCAAGATTTCGACAGTAAGCAATAAACAAACAATTGCTCGATCGCACTAAGAATCTTAATGTGACACTCTTACGTTTTTGATAATTTTTGAATGTAGAAATTTGAAACTAAAAGAATAAGTAATCTTTTTTTCCCTCGCATTCGTTTATTTTTCAACTTATAGCATTTTATTGCCCTTATAGCTCTAAATATTAAATTTAAACTAAATTTAATTAAAAATTTAATTGGACCAAAAATATATCCCTTACATTTCTCTATGTGCCATCTACCTTAATTGACATGATATCGCGAGTCACGTCGCGCGAGTAATTATTACGATTAAAAGTGGCACGAGCGAGCGAAAATGCGGATGGAAAAAGGAGGAGGAATAGATTGAAAGTAAAAAAATAAAAACAAATGGGACGAGAGAGAGAGAGAGAGGGGGGGGAAGAGGGGGAGAGAGAGAGAGAGAGAGAGAGAGAGAGAGAGAGAGAGAGAGAGAGAGAGAGAGAGAGAGAGAGAGAAAGAGAGAGAGAGAGAAATTTGCCGTTGTGTGGGCGGATCCGAGAACTTTTCTGCGCGGACTATTGCGAGAGAACGAAAAGCGGTTAACGAGCTGACCGGTGCTAAAATCCACGGAAATATTTATAGATCCGCAGCTGTGCGCGATGGATGTGTGAATTCGATCTCCGTTGGTTTTCTTTCGTAAAAGCGGTGAGGGAGGGAGGGGGAGGGGAATGCAGTAATTCGCGAGCAACAACGCGAACATCGGATTCTCCTTTCGACATACTTTCGAATTTTCCTCTCTTTCTTTTTTCTGTTATAGCGGCTATTTGTATCTTATTGTTCGAGACTACGAGTTATAAATTAATCTTGGAAAGAAGAGTAACACACTGTTTATATAAGTAAATTTAATAATCGCATATGATTATCATTCAATATGAGCGATAACGATATTATTCTGAGGCGTACAACAGAAATTGAAAGGGGAGAAGATAATGAACCATGAAGAAACCAAGCATTTTCGACGAGGTTTAATCGACGTTTTGCGATAATACTTGCGCCACTGCAATCCCTACCAATTAGCTTCCCAAATGACGCAGCCGCGGCTATGGAAAGCTACGAGTCCGATAAAAACTGATCTTGCTTATCGCGGAATACCGTAATTGCTGTAATTTAATCTATAACGTTCCTGGAACTCTTCTCACCCGAGTAATAATTTCGTACATTTGCTAGACTAATCGCACGTCTAAAATGGAGTGACGTTTTCTCGATGCAAGATGGTGTCCTTCTAGACAACTTTTTTTCTTTTTATTACTTCAAAGAAAGAGAGATCCGTTTCCCGCTTTTTCGAGTCCCGCAAAGCCAGCGAGTTATCTTCAGAGCGTAAAGGCTCTTGGGAAACGACCAGAAGTCATAAAAAAAGGGCTTTAACTTCCTGCAACTTCTCCTCTGAGAGAGATGCTTCCCAATCACAATAATAGAATCATAATTCCAGCGTTTCGAGCATACCACCATCCTGTCCATCCATGTTCCGTTTCGTTTCGCCAGTATCATTTAGTCCGCCTCCCACGATCCGCAGCCCCATATGTGCGACCTATTGGGAGATCTCAAAGGGCCCTTGGGGAACCGAGCCGTACGGATCTCCAATGGGCTCCCTGAAATCGTTAAACGGAGCGCAAACGAAACGGTATGGCACGAACAGCTGTGAAAATTGACTTTTCACAGCCGGCTCGTTTTCAGCCGATCTGCAAGCGAGTTTGCCTGCGGTTTCGGGAGAAAATAGCTTCAAACTATGAAACCCTTGTCGCTATTTGACACCCCTTTTGTCCTTGCCCTTGACTAACGGGAGGCATGTACAGTTCGTCAATGCTCGATGTGACCTCTCCTTACGTTTTATACTGACGCTCAGCTTTTATTTTTGGTTGAAGTAATGCTCTTCACAATTTTAAAATTCGTCGAATTAGTAATGCAAAATCAAAGAGAAATTTCGTTCAAGCAACACATAGCGTTGGCTCTTATTTTTAGTTGACCGTTAAAAAATTTCCCTTGACGAGAAATTTAAGATTCTTCTTAACCGCTTCATTGGCATTGACGCACTTTTGCGTCAAAATAAAGACATGCCATAAATGACATTGACGCACTAATGCACACATCGTTTATTTTTTCATTAACTGGTCCGATTTTCGTAAAAATTGATACCCTAAGGTTTTTGAGATTACTGAATATGAATTTGAGGTCAAAATATGGCAATTCAAAATGGCGGATCCAAAATGGCGAACCAAAAAAATAAAAATCTATCTGATTATTTTGAAACTCGGTATTTAGGAGTTTTTCGGATAATAAGGATAATTCGGATAATAGTTTTTCTGAATAAGAATTTGAGGTCAAAATGTGGCAATTCAAAATACAATTCAATTTTTTTTCAATTCAATTTTTTTATTTTAATTCAATTCCTACATATCGAATTTCATAAAAAATCAGGTACACTTTTGGCCGCCATTTTGGATTCGCCATTTTGAATTTTCATATTTTAACCTCAAATTCGTACTCAGTCACCCGAAAAACATTTGTGCCGACGTTTATAAAAATCAAGCATGATTTACATGTTGCTATTTTGCGTCAGTTGATGCTATTTCTCAGTGCCAACGAAGTGGTTGAAGCTGGATACAGACTTGAGCATGAACGCGCATGAGACAAGCTGAGACCACACCGAATGCCTCGGATTGAAAATTGAAGTCTCCGCATAAGAACGCATGAGGCAAGTCGAGGCAACTGTTCGACGTTGCTCCTTCTGGTCATTCGGAGTCAGCAGTTCTGTTCTTAATTTTTCGTGTCGTGCGCGGCTATCTTCCGTACGCGTGCTCGAGTGCGTCCAAACTGATTGTGAGCACGAATTATCTTTGATGGACCGACAGCGCTCGGCTCAGTCCGAGGCCGAGCCCGTGCGGCGAATCATCTGAGGCAATCTGCCGCGCCTCGGACCAACGTCCGCACTTGCATGCTCATGCGGCCTCGACTTGCCTCATACGCGTTCGTGCTCAAGTCTGCATCCAGCTTAATAATTATCGCGATCTTGTTTTCGTTGCAGATATCGCTATGGATTGGTCGGATCACGCTCTTTGGTGGCCGGCGCGGAATCATTGGCTCACCAGGACGCGCAGCACTCTGGACCAGTATGGCGTAGCGGCGGACGCACAGCTGCACTTCACGCCGATGCACAAAACCTTGAGGGTGCAGTTGCCAGATATGCGCTGCCTCGACTGCCGAGTCGATTTTTCCGTCAAGACATTCAACGCGGTCATCAATTTGTGCAAGGAACTTGGTGAGTCTCCTTAAAGCGAACCTATTAAAGCCGTTTAAGACGCGTAATAGAAACGCTATGGCGCGAGCGGTTATCGCACATAGCAATTAATGACGTTTGCACGAGGGAGAGCACAGAGCGCTCGTCGTGCAGAGATCAACGAGAACTTTCGAGAAGATGCACTTATGAGAAGAACATTGAAGAATCATGAATTTTGTTTCATAACGATAACTCGGTTGTTTTGGTGATTAACGAAACAACCTCGTCGAACGTTGATATTGCGTCTTTTGAATGACGGAAAAATGAAAATGAGAAAAGAATGCAGCCGAATATGGGAAAATATTTTTTTTAATTATAAATTTTTCTTATTTATTCTTACCTTTATTGCTTTTGTTTTTTCTTATTTATTTTTACCTGTTGTTTCTTTTGTTCTTTTCTTCATTTCGTACTTTTGTTTTTTTTTTCTGTTTGTTCGTACTTCTCAATTATAAATATTTTTTGTGTTATTATCCTTTAAATATACTTTGCATGTTGCAATATTGGAAAAAAATATCTATTCCGTCACCGTTACGTTCGCATAGATGTGCACAATGCTTCTAGGGCGACTATATTTGCGCCTGTAGTGATATTATAGGCGGCAATAAAAAAGAAATGATAAATTTGAAGTCACGCGAAGGTCGCACGGATGATCGTGGTTGCGAATCCACCGCAGTGCGCAACCTCGACTGGCTTTTTAATCAAGGAAGTGGGTTAATGCGATAATTCTGTCCGGTGGATAAAGCTGCGACTTTCGAATAAGAGGAAGTGCCGGGAAGATACGATCTTATCGTTTCAACAACAACCTGAAAATAATTCCATGCATATGATCACATATGTTCATAATGTCATCTGAAATAGAAAGTAATTCGCATTCTTCGATTTCACATGAATTCCTTCCTAATCGAGCGCTCCAGAACTTCTCCGAAATATACCTTTATATACCTTCGAAGTTAATATACCTCCGAGGTTAATATACCTTCTCGCTGTCTAAAGGCAAAACAAAGAATAATCTCATCAAAGTAATGAAAATGCATGAAAGAAGGAGAAATCTGTCGTTTCGGAAACTCTCTAGAATTATATGCAGCTCTAATTGACGCGTTCGAATCATCGATCGCATTTTTGCATATTTCTTCGGAATGCTGACTTTATTAGCGAATGGACATCAGCGATATGAGATCAGTGTGTCATATTCATAAATAGACGCTAATGCGCAGTGCGCCGTTGCACGTGATCTTTGTCCGTCAATTACTTCGTTCCATTGCAACAACATACTGGAGAACAGACATCATCGTGATTGACCGTTATTATTCCTTTTGCTCTTTAGATAACGGCAAAAGATGCATATCTTGCTGTTGGTAAAATATCGTTATTATATTAGATTATTATATATGAAATGTCCGAATTCGAATTAAAAGTTTGGTTTGTTGTATCTCAAACTAGAAATGGTACAATTAATCAAAGTATGCGCCTAAACTATCGACATAGTTCTACCATCTTAACGGTAGTTTATTTATGCCGGCGGCGAAGAAGCCTGAAGAGCGGATGACGATGAAATCGCGGAAGGCATTTTCCATAGCTTGTTAAGAATTGAATATCTTTCCTTCCAAGAAGTGGTCCAGTGTCTGGAAGAAGTAGTAGTCGCATGGTACAAGGTCTGGTGAATACAATGGGTGACAGAGAGTTTCAAAGTCCAGTTCCTGCAGTTTGTAAGCCGGCATTATTCGTGCGACATGTTTTCGAGCGTTGTCTTGCAAGAGGATTGGCCTGTCTCTATTGACCAATCTCAGCTGCTTAATCGCAAGCATCCTCATCATGTCGTCCAGTTGGTTACAGTGGACATCCGCTGTAACCGATTGACCAAGTTTCATGTAGTTGTAGTGGATAATACCAGCACTGGACCACCAAGTAAATATCATTAGCTTTTTGTGGTGAATATTCGGTTTTGGATTATGTTTCGGCACTTCATCTATATACAGCTATTGTGCCGAATGCTTGCGATTATCGAAAAGAATCCATTTTTTATCACACGTAACAATACGATGTAAGAATATTATAGTCTTTTATGTCGTGGTAGTAAAGAAAGGCAAGCTTCGAGACGATTTCTCTTCTGACGCTCGTTTAACTCATGCGGAACCCATCTATTCCAGTTTTTTATCTTTCCAATTTGTTTCAAATGGCCCAATATTGTTGAAGTAGTAACGTTAAATTTTGCTGCTAATTCACGCGTAGTTTGAGATGTATCCGTTTCCACTACAGCTTTCAGATGCTGATAGCATCACTATCCACCTTGGTCTCAGGTCACCCACGTGGTTCATTTTCAAGATTTAAAATCGCCAGAACGAAACTTCTCAAACTATCGACGTACTGTGCGTTCATTAGCCACATTTTCACCAAACACTCCGTTGATACTTTGAGTTGTCTGTGTTGCATTGACTCCACGACGGAACTCATATTCGAAAATAACACGAATTTTTTACTTATCCATGGTTACACAAAAATTGCTGTAATAAAAATAATTCGAAAGACAATTACAAACCAAAACGTGCGTTTGAAAGAGTAATGGTATACTTTTATAATAAAAAGGAAAACCAGGAACTGTAAAAGTGAAATGTCAGAGATATCGACTATCGAACTTAGTACTTAAAGAAATCGGACATTTCATATTTAATGACCTAACATTATACTTTAATATTTCTTCCATAGAGAGCGTGTCTCGACCTTACCGACTCGCGTTCGGATTTCAAGCAAATTTTTCGATGCATTCGTAGTCTTAATCCTTCCGAGAGAAATCAAGATTGTCATTATGATCTAAATGCGAGAGATTGAGACCAACCGTATTCCTTTCACAGGCATCAGACACCCAGAGGAACTGTCGTTCTGTAAACCGCTCGAGCCGAATCATCTGAAATACAATTTGAAGGATCTACCGGTCAAGAAAAAGATCGAAAATCAGAAGAACGGTCATTGGAATGTGCCGGCCGACACGAATACCTTCATTCCGGCCAGCCAGAGTCCCAGAGGATCCACAGGAAGCTTAGATCAATCCAATCCGTTCATGTGCGCGCCGGTTACGCCCAACAGAAATCACAGCACACCGATCAGCTCGCCTGTCTCGGTAGGTTTAGCGTGTGTGAGATATAGAATAGAGATAGAATGAAGTATACGATTGTGTACGTGTAGCTCGGACTAACAGACAAGAAATGTCCTAGATGACAAATATCACCAGTAGCATCGCAAAGGCGTTTAGAGGACATCTATATTCGTTTTCTTGTTCATTACTGTTGATCGCAGCCCTGATTATAACATATTCTCGAGTGCAGTTTATTTTACTACTAACTCGTGTCTTATAGCGTCAGTTTTCTTCTTCAATTTACCAGAAATGCCGTAACTCTGTTGTTTGACTTGTTTGAAATACACATTGGTAAATTTTCGAATCCTTCCCCTCTCTCATAAAATTTAACGCGGATTTTCAGCATACTGGCACATGGAAGAGAAACAACAACTCGTCCGGCTTCGGCAGCACCGGCTCTTTCAATGCCAACAACAGCACGATGAGTCTGGAGGCATTAAACGGCGGTCTATCAGAGTCCTTGGCACAAAGTCCGACGTCGATCTCGCCGGAGGTGCGAGCGAAGCTGATCAGGCCGAAGAGCCTGATCGAGAGAGCGCGAATGAACGTGTCTTGGCTGGACTCCTCCCTGTCGATCATGGAGCAGGGTATTCGCGAATTCGATACGCTCAGGTTGAAGTTCAAGTTCTACTCCTTCTATGATCTGAATCCCAAAACCGATGCGGTGCGAATCAACATGATCTACGAGCAAGCCAAGTGGCAGTTGCTCGCCGAGGAGATCGACTGCACCGAAGAAGAAATGCTGATGTTCGCGGCGCTTCAGGTACCTTATTACCACCCTTGCCCCTAATCTCATCTCATTATTCAAATTTATACATCCAGATTCACCAACCGGTCCGTTTTATGCACAGAAATCGACATGAGATTTTGCTCTCAATCACTATAAGCGCATCGTGCAGGAAAATATGTAATAAAATATCTCGACGTGCTAAAAAACTAAGGTACTAAGGTACTAAAGATATTAAAGAGACTTTAAAATACTTTAAAGTATTATCATCATCATTCTTGACCGTCGTCTATTCATTTCGCGTCGGTTACATGCTGTTTACACGATGACTGAATGTTTTATATTCGTCTTCGCTCGCTCCCGATATACTCATACCGCTCCGAGGGAGCCCCACTCGACGCATAACGCATGCAAATAGCCACGTCCTTAAGCTGATTGCTGGTGTTCCGTCGTACCTACGTAATGTCGTTATATGAACACGCGAACACGACCAAGAAAAGACGTGACCACGTCGCCTCGACCCACTGCTGCTGCCGCCATGCTATGTCGTTCACCTTGCTACACCTACTCGTCCCATCCTCGTGTGACGAACGTTCCAAGAGAAAGCACAAAGAAAGAAGAAAATATCCGTAGTCAGTGCCGTCACCAACGCTGTCTTCTTGTTCGTAGGTGCAGGTGAATCTCCAGGCGAGCGTGCCTCAGCCCACTTACGACAGCAACGGCGCGACCTCGCCCGTCGAGGATGACATCGATGCGGCCTTGACAGATCTGCAGGTGACGTTGGAAGGTAGCAGTATCAGCAACGGGCCCAGCGACATCACGCAAGTGCCTGAGCTCTGCGACGAGTTGCGTTTCTTTAAGCCGAAACGCTTCACTCTCAAAGCCTTCAAGCGTTATTGGTTCACATGTCGGGATCTGCAGCTGCGGCTTTATAAGAGCCGCGAAGAGATCAGCGGTTCGGACTCGCCGGCATACGTGATTAATTTGCGCGGCTGCGAGGTCACGCCGGATGTACATCTGTCGCAGGGTCGTTACGGGATCAGATTGGAGGTGCCTAGCGCGGAGGGTATGACCGAGATGTGGATCAGATGTGACAACGTAAGTGTGGCGGATTAGCTGTAGTAGGCAAGGTTGACAAAGAATACGTCACTTCAATCCGTTATCGTAATAAATAATCAATTTTATCCATTGATAGGGAGAATTACTTTTGATGAACAACACTTATAAAAAAACCGTTGCTCGTTATCTATTGAAAAATTAATTAATTATCGTTATTGTTACTCTGGAAGTGAGGAGTTATCATAATTTTATTATCTTTTTCATTAAATCTTGAAGATACTTGTACTCTATTTGTATTGAATAATGATAAAAATAACGTAATAAAAAAGTAATTGCGTTAACTCAAGAAATATAATTGCGTTACAATTATCATTACTAGTGAAAAAAAAAAATATCGAGTAAAAGAAAAATAACAGTAATGGCAACTAAAAGCGTTATCTAGCTGAAAACTGGAAAAATTGCAGCTATGGCTCAAAAGCGCGGTGATTGTCATTCGTTTTGTTACTGCAGGAGCAACAATATGCAAAGTGGATGGCTGCGTGCAGATTGGCCGCCAAGGGCCGTACTCTCGCCGACGCGTCTTATGAGAGCGAGGTCAACAGCATTATTGCTTTCCTGCAGCTTCAGAGGCCCGCTCCTGCGCCAGCGATCAATCCCAACTCTTTGGACATCGTTCCAGAGGATTACGTGGCGCCTAGATTCGCGAAGAAGTTCAAAGGAAAGGTAATCTTACTTTCATTGGTAAATAAATCTATGATAAATTCTGTCGAGTTGGCAAGCTATACCAATCGCGCTCACCTGTTGCACAGCTGGTCCAGAGGATCTTAGAGGCACATGCGAACGTCAAGGACTTGTCGCTCGTCGAAGCGAAGTTGAATTACATCAAAGCTTGGCAATCTCTACCAGAATACGGCATTTCTCTTTTTATTGTACGATTTACTGGCAAAAATAAAGACGAGCTGCTCGGCATTGCTAACAATAGGTTAATGCGGATGGAGCTTCATAGCGGCGATCATTTGAAGACCTGGAGGTATAACACCATGAAGGTGCGTATTATTTCGTGTATTCGTTTGACACCAAGCTTCAATAAAGTCTCAACATTAGACTATCGAGTTTTGGCCTAGTGAATGTTAAGTCTATTTTAGAAGACGACCGATCTCATCTCTTTTGCAGGCGTGGAATGTCAATTGGGAGGTGAAGCACATGATGGTACAATTCGAGGAGGAGAATATCATCTTCGAATGCCAATCGGCTGATTGTAAAGTCGTTCATGAGTTCATAGGGGGCTACATATTCTTGTCGATGCGCTCGAAGGAGGCGAACCAGACGTTGAACGAGGAAATGTTCCACAAACTGACTGGCGGATGGGTCTAATAACGCGATAAGCGCACACGATGAGTGTGTATAAAGGGGTTCTCTAACGCATCTCTTTTTTAATGAGCAACTGTGGAGCGCGTTCTGTCGATTTTATTTATGCGCATTACATCAATGATAAACGTCTGTTTCGAGGACAGACGTTCAGCAGAAAGTAGCCGCTTGCAACACGGCTAGCTGACACTTGTAAAAATACCTAATCCCGCTCGTGATTGTCAGATTTTAACAGATCGTAGATTGTAAATAGAAAATACCGCGCTCCTTTTACATACGAATGCAACAGAGAAGTCCGTTTTAGGGAATGTAGAATTACCTTATACTGCTCGATGGTGGTACATAATTCGAAAGAAATATTCACCATTGGTGCGGTTGGATGGATCATATAAGGTATAAAAAATGCATCTTGATAACAGTAATATCGAAATCATTGACTTTTTTCCGCGGAAAATTAAATTTGTACATTCGCGATAACTTTTGAGAAAATCACGACGGAGTTTTTAGAAATGTTTACGAAAGATAAATTGTACTTTTACACGAGATTTCTTCTACTCACGAAGAATTTGTCGTTAACTATATTGAACCTCACTCGAATACGTCACACGCACACAAATAAGAATGTCGCGGCACGTATCGCGTCGAAGTTGTAATAACGTTTCACTCGTCTGTCATTAAGCAACTCGAACAGGTGATTATAATTCCCCTTGCGTGTCAGTGTCATCTCATTGTTACAAGGTGCTATAAGGTATATAACGCCATACGATGGCGCGAGACATCTAATCGTGTATAAATTATTTGTTATTTTAATGTAAATTAGAGTATATAGAGCAACAAACTATATCAATTGTATCGTTATCACAAAGTATCCATATGAAATATCACGTTATATGTATATGTAACCAAAAAAGGTATAGTTTTGTATATTAATAGGCGGTAACTGTATAATAAACTTATCATTAATACGCCTCGCGGATTTGTCCAATCTTTATTGTTCGCGAATGAAAAGAAAATCAATTTGAAACGGCATTTAATACCAACACTCGTATAACAAATGATATTCGTTCACACGGTGTAAATGTCTATCAAAAATTATTATCATTTTACTGTCTCCCGTGCTGTCTCTCTGTTTGTATATCTTTAAAGTGTCAAGTATTGGGTTCCTTATTCTCTTATCCAACAGTAATCGATAGCTGCGGATCTTTTCCCGAATTGTTCACCATCTTCGACGCTTGATGTTGGTTCTCCGAATTTTTCAGGGCTGGGAATGTCTTCGCTACGTTTCCAGTTCCTGCGATAGTCGAGCCATCCAAATTACCGACTCCGTACATCTAATTATGTAGACACACACAAACACATAGGCGATTCGTTACGTCTCTTGCATCAAGTATAACTTTTCGATGTCGGGAAGTGCAAAATTATCCGCGGATTAGAATGCTGAATGGATGCTGTCGAATTGAAGCTATGATAAGAATTGAAAGAGGGAATTATCTGGTTTCAATCAGTCGGCTTCTTTGAGAGGACAACGAGAGAAGTTGAAAATTATCTAAAACTTTGAGAATTATTTTGTTTTTATCAGAACGATCTTTAGAACTTTAAGATGCGATTTCTCTGCACTACATATAGCAGTAATAAATTTAGTAGATCATAATAACCGGAGTGTGACTCGGCGGCGCCGAATGGACCAGTCTTCCGGCAAGGGAGCCCGTTTTCTCCTTCCTAGCCCTCACCCATTCATGGCCCAGCACCCGCTCAAGAGTCAGCCGCAAGGTGATGTCCGGCTCAAGGATTTGGCGGACGATGTTTTTGGCGAGTGCAGACACAGTGTCGCGGACGCGCGAGCGGAAGATCCAGTTGTGCGATATCTGATCCTTGAGAAGCTTGCGCAGATTCGCATCGTCGAACGGCATCCGGGCGTTGAGCATGATGAAGAGGATGATGCCGAGCGACCACACGTCCGCCAATTTCGGATTATACGGGGTGCCGGCAACGACTTCCGGGGCGGCATATGCCGCCGAACCGCAGTACGTCTGACTAAGCACCCGTCTGCCGCTGTGGTCCACGCAGAACCTGGCAAAACCGAAGTCCGCCAGTTTCACATTGAACTTCCGTGACAGAAGTATGTTCTCGCACTTGAGATCCCGGTGGGCGATGTTCTTGCTGTGCAAGTAATGTAGGCCGGAGGCCATTTGACGGAACCACAGCCGTGACTGCTGCTCCGGCACTATGCCGTTGTTCTTCACGAAGTCGAGCAGGTCGCCGTTGTCGGCGTAGCGCATGAAGATGAACACACGCGAACCGCGCTGCAGAATACTATGCACCTGCGCATGCGATCATAGCAGACGTAGTATGAATATGACGAAAGCCGCTGATTGAAATTAGAATTCTCTGTCGATATAAACCGAGTGTCTCAGTAGCCGAGTACTCAAAGTCATAGGTACTTGAATATTCAGATACCTGAAGTTGACATCGTTAATTAAAGTACCTTACAAGCATAGAGAAAAGTTCAAAAGTTCATGAGGAAAGTTCAAAATTGGAACGTCACAATTGAGTTTCAATGAGTCGACTTCTTTGAGAGAATCGAGAGATACTTCCGGGAGCTTCCGGAACAATCCCTCCCTCAGCGACGAAACATTGAAGAAAATTCAACTGATCACTTCCGAACGACATCTCTTAACGTTATCTAGGGAGAGGAGAATGTCGTGAGCGTGGAGCGTCAGGTAGCTCAATGGTTTAGAGCAGTCGCCCGGCAAGCAAAAGACCCGGGTGTTCGATTACCCGGTCTAGCGATTATCGCGCTCCTGGTATTTTTCTCTCTCCAGAACGAAAATAAGATGCAGGTCCCGAACGCACGGCGTCCCGTCGCCACCTAGTACGCCCTCCTTCTTTCATGGTGTGCCTTACTTGAATGATGTGCGGATTTTCAATCTTTGTCAGAATTTCGAGCTCGCGGGGGAAGAATTTGTCCAAGAAGTCAGACGGCGCCTTTTCCTTGTCGAAGATCTTGCAAGCTAGACGCATCTTCTTGGAGCTCGTTCCATCGACATATTCCGCCAGATGAACTGTCGCGTAAGATCCCTAAAAGCCGTCGGCAGCAGCGATATATAGAACATCTGATCAAGATCTTATCAGGATTTTATTTCGGAGAAATTCCTCCGACGAGAATTCATCTTGTTCGGAGGCAGAAAAGAAGAAATCGCACTTTCCGCATCCGAAAGTTTTCACTTCGAACTCAGTCTCAGGTGTCACGCGAATCAGGGTAGAAAAGTAGAAGAAAGAAAAAAGAATCCGAAGTTCAGAGAATGCTGTATCATATCGGTACCTAGCATTTCTTTAACGAGCAAAAAGGTCAAAACAAACAACCTGTCCGATCTTCTTGCTGATGAGATAGCCTCGCTGTTCGAGAGCATTGACCTCCGAGTTTCGGGGGCTGAGTCGCGTGGCCATACCAATGATTCTTCATCGACTCTTCATTACTGACCCCGAAGAGTCGATGGCCGAGCCTTTAATCGTTGCAATCGTCTTCTCTCATCAACCCACCGCAAGTTCGCTCGGAGATATGTCACCGAGAATTTATCCTCGATCTCACTTCCTTCCTCGCAGCACCGTCTTCGTTCGCTCGTTCTCAGAGTCTAACGGTGGCAGGTCGTCGACGTCTATTCCAGCCGGATGCGAGCACCCCGACGATGGTAGTCTAGCTGTTATCGTAGAATCCAAACGACGCTTCCGGCGACGAGACGTCTTCGTACGGTTATTTGAGAATGGCTGCGAATGTACTTAGAATTTTGGACGTCGGGACCAGTCTGGCGCGCCTGGTGTGCGATGGAAGGCGGAAAGTGAAGATCCGCGTTTCATTCGAGCGTAGCCATTATACTTGAAAGTGGAGAAACAATTGACATCGCGTGACATACCCGCGATCGATCGCTGTATGCAATCTCGAGTCATTTCTCGTGACGGACTTGGGACGAAGATTTCTTCGTTGCGATTACCGCATCTTCTTGTTACGCGAGGCGGATTTTTCGTTGGTAATTAGCCATAAAGTAATATAACAAGGCCGAGAATGTTGCTCATAAACAAAAATTAATGCTCTCATTCACATAATCACATTCACATAATGATTTTTAATACGATTTATCATACGGTTTATCATGATTTCGCACGAATATTTACGGGAGGAAACACAAGAGCAATGCAAACGGAAAGACATGCAAGTTGCATTGTAGTAGAATTGCATGAACGAAATATAGAGTGATTTATTACAACTTAAAGAGAACGCAATTGATATATAATGGGTGAAATTAAGAATATGACTATAATCTTAATATGATCTTTGAATCGTACGATTACAAATTTTACATGTTACTCACGTATCAAAATAAACTGAAAATAGAGCTTCGTTTTCATCAACGTTTTAATTAATAGCTACGTCCGAAAAGAGTATAAAACTTCGGCTTGTTCTTGCAACTATTATGAATGCATTTCATCCCGTTCAGTGGTTTTGTCAATTTCGGTTGTTCGAATGGTATGCAGAGACTCTTCGCGCCCATTGACAACGTCCCAGTCTCCTCGTTGTTGTCTTCTCTGTAATCAAACGTTTGTTTCAATATTAAGACTATTTCTTCGCTTAACTAAGTTTTTATATTTTGTCTTTAAAATAAAATAGGTGTACAATCTAATGCTAAAAAGGAATCAAATTCCAATGCAGCAGTAGTTGAGTTAAGATCAAGCTGATCTCGAGCGAACGGATGAGAAGAGACTCTCATTGTTTCTGAAATATCATTTTTCTGCAAGTGTCGTTTACCTTGCGCTATCAGCCTTGATGTTATCCTCGCATGACTGCTCTCCACAGAAGGGTGACAGTAACAAATTGTTGTTGTCGAGTTGGTGACGGAAATCGGTCCAAGTTTCCACTTGCTTGATATGCGCATCGAGATCCTTCCTCGCTCTGTAGACAGAATCCAGTAGACAGAATCGCAATTTATCGATAAAGAAAAGAAAAACCGTGTTATTAGAGGAGTCATTTCGAGCGACGCTTACTTGCTGAGCAATCTCGATTGTATATTCTTCAGCAAGGAGTGTAATGCCGAAATCACTTGATCTCTCGGCACGGTGTGCCTCTCCAAGTTATCTCTGCATACAAAAGTGACCTGATGCTTCTCCACTTCCGCCGGGCCTAATTCTATTCTTACAGGCACGCCCTTCAGTTCCCAGTGATTGAATTTCCAGCCAGGCGTTCGGTTGTTCCTGTAGTCTACCCCCATCCTGAATTTACCGATTTCAAGTAATTCAGTACGCAGTTTTTCGCATTCGTAGTTAAGCCGTTCTTTTTGCTCCATCGTCGTGCTCGCGGCGATGCCGCATGGAATAAGGACGGCTTGGATGGGCGCCACCATCGGTGGCACCATTAAACCCCTATCATCTCCGTGTACCTATATACAAATAATAAATAATAAGTAAAAAAATAAACTTGCTATATGGCTACATACAATTCACAAAGCGTCATAATAGTCTGAAGATAACGCAATTCTATTATTTATATAATTGCCGATGACTGACAAACAAGAGTCTTATTGCAGTTATTAATTTACAATAATTATATGTTATTGCTAAATAAGTAATAATCGTGTACTGCTAATCGCGATAAACTTTTCTTCGTAGATTCTTTCTTTTTCTTTTTATAACCATTCATTTTTTTATAAGTGATAATTTCTGAAACTGACCATTATCATGACTCCGATCGTTCGCGTGGTCAGACCCCACGAGTTCTGATAGACGAAGGTTTTCTCTTCGCTCTCTGTGGCGCCTTCCACCTGGATGTTGAACATCTTCGAGAAGTTTTGGCCTAGATGGTGGCTAGTTGCGCCCTGTATCGCTCGTCCGCTCGCTGAGATAAAGGCTTCCACAGTTGTAGTGTAATCGCCACCGGCGAACTTCTCCTTCTCGGTCTTGCGACCTTTGATAACAGGCACTGCCAGTAGTTCCTCGTAGACTCTGCTGTATAAATCCAAGATGGTCAGAACTTCTTCTTCTGCCTCCTTCTTCGTGGCGAATGCGGTATGGCCTTCTTGCCACAGAAATTCTCGCGTACGTAGAAAAGGTTTGGGGTCTTTGAATTCCCATCTCTAGAAACGAAGCGGAGTGATTAAACAACATCGCCGCGATCTCCTCTTCGTCTTTCGTCCGAGTTGGAAATATCCAGAGTTGGGAAAATTACTTGTTCAAAGTAACTCGTCATCGCCACTTATTTTGAAACATAACTCACTAGCCTCGTCGTTACTCAAGAAGTAACAAGTCGTTACTTTAAGTCGCTTCCATTAGACTCGAAACACAGTGGGTATAGTAAGTCTTTAACCTTCCAAGTCCAAAACTGTAACGTAATAATTCCTGGCGAAAGGCATTTTTTTGCATTAGCAGTACTAATCGTACTAACGCTTAAAATTTGGAGTTTACTACACTCATTATTTCGAGCCTTACCTTTCTCGGTAAGCATTAAAGTTACCGTTACTGTCAAAGCGTTACTGAAAAAAGTGGTTGGTAACAATACTAATTATTTGAAGTCATTATTTCTCCCTTCTCAACTGAACTTCAACTCTGAATCTACGCTATAGCTCGTTGAAATTCAAATCTCTAATGACAATAAAGATAATTATTACCACAACGTTGTTCCACTGATTGAGCTTGAGCGGCAGTTCGGTATCCGATCTCAACCACTTGGCATAAGCCGGATACATGACAGTCTCGGAAGTGGGCCGTATTGCCACCGGCTCTGCCAAGTCTGAGTCACCGCATTTCGTCACCCAAGCGACTTCCGGCGCGAAATCGGCAATGTGTGCTTTCTCTTTCTCCAGCACGGCGCGAGTCACGAAGATCGGGAAGTAGCACTCCTGCACACCGAGTGCGGTGATCTCACGATCGATATAGTCCTTTATGACCTTCCACATCATGAAGCTCCACGGACGGAAGATGTAGCATCCAGACACGTCGTAGTACTCGATCATACCGCTCTTCGTGATGGCCTGAGAGTACCACTCGGAGAAATTCTCCAGCTTCTTCACCTCCAGTCCTAGCCTCGTGCCAGTCTTATTCGTGTCCTTGACGGCTTCCGAGTTCTCCTTCGCAACTTCTTTCTTCGCTGTTTTGCCGGTCTTGGGCTGCTCTTCTTTTTTCTTCTTCTTGGGTGTTGCGTCCGACGACATCGCGGGCTTCCAGTCCTGACCGGTCGTGTCCTTGTAGTCGCTCTTCAGAGCTAAGAGAACCTTCACCTCCTGATCGATCACACTTTTCTCGGCCTTCGAGCTCTTTAAGCTCCGCACTTTGTCACCTTGTTTCTGTATTTCCTGAGATATTCTCTCCGTGATCTCCTTGTTGTCGTCGTTTTGTTGTCGTTTTGTTTTGGTGTCGTTGCCGCTAGCAATCGCATTTTGAGCGGGTTTCTCTTTATCGCTCTTAGTCTGCTTCCCCTTTTCGTTTTGCCGCTTCTGCGTGCGATCGCATTTCTGATCTGCTTGGTTAGTTTTCTCGTTACATTTGGCCTCTAGTTTCTGTAGTTTCTTCAACTCCTCGTCCATATGTTTCTGTAACTCAATAATCTTCTTCTTCTGCTCAGAAATCTCCTTGGATAGTCCTGCCATGTCATCGTTCTCGGTTTTCGGTGCCTTGGGAACAATACCAGGTTTCCAATCATCCCCGGTGCTGGTTTTGTATTCCGCTTTCAAAGCCAAGAGAACTTTAACTTCAGCATCGATAACAGCCTTGTCCGCCTTCTCAACTTTCAAGCGACGTACTTTATCTCCTTGAGTGATAATTTTCTCGTTAATAACGTGCACGTCTTTCGCCCGTTTGTCGTTCGATGCATTTATGCTCAGTGCAGTCACAGTATTTGGCACGGTTACCGTAGTATTTGTAGCCGGAACTTTAGAAGGCGGCGCCATGCGTCCGTCGGGTATATGGAACAGTATGACAGATTGTTCCCGCGACGAGTAGGGGCTGATTGGTGCGTAAGGAACGTCGCATATGAAGAAGCCTTTCCTCCGGAGCTCGATGATCTCTCCTTTCTTGACGCGCTTTAGCTCCACTTCGCCTAACATCTCGACCTCTTTCCTCGTATCCTTTGCCACGAAATTCTTAAAGTCGTCATCTTTGCCCAACACTGGCACGCTCATGATGTGATCGAAGTAGACAGCATAACACGATATCGCGTCAGTCTCTTCCGCCTTCCGATCGGATTCAGCTGCCGATGGTGCGGCCAACCACGTGATCTTCAAAGTGTCCTTATAATTCTTGTCGTCCAGGTTCAACGACGCCTTCACATTCACGACAGTGCTGTTCTTCTTTTCTATCTGCTTTATCATCAGATTACCCCAGCTGATGAAGGTCGTGTTTTGACCTTCGATCAAACTCTCGGCATCATCTTTTTCTATGAATATTTTAGGACCTACTCGCACTCGCTTAGTACCTTTAGACGGATCTTTGGGATGATTTTGCACGGTTAACCATTCCTCCTTGGCGTCCATCACTTCAACCGGCACGATTTTATCGTTATCCAATGTAGTGTACCTGAAAAACAAGTATGTAGAAAAATTATAACGATATTTCACTGAGAGGGAAAATATTATTGATGAAATTTATAGTACCGGATAGCGACTGGATCGATGACCTTTTTGTTGAAAGCCCAGATCTTGTCCCATTGCATAAAGACTACGGATTTGGAGCTGCCTTGTGCAATAATGAATTGTTTTAAACCTTCCACTGTCATCCCTCGTCTCAGGATACCTCTGACCGTCGGGAAGCGCGGGTCATCCCATCCGTCCACCAAGCCTTCGTTCACAAACCACGTGAGCTTCCGTTTGGACAGAACTGTGTGGGTCATATTTAGACGTGAATACTCCCAGATATTTGGTTTACGTAGTCCTAGAGCTTCTAATATCCAGAAGAACTGGGGATCTCTGTCGCGATACTCCATTGTTCGCAGCGTATGGGTGACGTTTTCGATGGAGTCGACGATCGGACAAGCGAAGTCATACGTGGGATATACTCTAACGTAAACAGAAATAAAAAATTCAAGTTGTTAGTAGGAAATGATGCATCGCAGCCGATATTCGATACTATGTTTTGCTTAAGTATCAAGACGTTTGAATGATATAAAATATGCGATTACTTGTATTTGTCTCCAGTACGTGGATGCGGCTCAGATTTGCAACGATAAATTGTCGGGTCGCGCATGCATCCATTCACCGACTCGTAATCAATCTTCGCTCGGACACAGCACTCTTGACCCTTCACGGTGCCGCGTCGCATTTCGTCCCATAATGCAAGATTCTTCTCTATGGCTGTAAAATGAAACGTCAGTGTGATCATTTTAAGTACTATCGATAGAGATTATTCGAGTAATAATATCTAGAAAATTTGTCGAATCGGTTACTCACAGTTATTTCGATTGTCGGACTTCATTTTTTGTTCGCGTTGTTCTTTCATAAGCTGCGCCGAGGTGTCATCTACATATGCGTGTCCACTTTTGATCAGGGTGGTACAATACTTCTCTATCACATCAAAATAATCCGAGGTGTGCGTGAATCGATCGGATTTGATTCGCAACAATTTTAAGTCTTCCAATATAGCATGCTCAAATTCCACAGTTTCTTTCGCCGGATTAGTGTCGTCGAACCTCATGATGAGTTGTCCTTGGAAAGCTTCGGCGTAATATTGATTTAAGAGAGCTGCTTTAGCATGACCAATGTGCAAGTAGCCACTTGCCTCAGGTGGAAATCTCACCACTACCTAAAGTAACAAGTACATAGAGATTACAAGATTTAACTTATCAAAAATTAATTAAAGAAACCAATCTGATCAATTTTATGCCACAATTCTACCTTGCCCATTTTAGCTCCAGGTAGATCAATAAATTTACCCTCCTGTTTTCTTGCGCTTATCGACTTAGCTGGTGCAGTACTATTTAATTCAACTTGATGCAGTCCTATTAGAACACCTTCATGCATTGAAATCTGTTCATACCATCTGGTAATATTGCGATATTTTCCACCATATGTCTTAATAAGATCTCTGTTCAATATAATACAGAACACATAAATGTCAGCTAATGTAATCCTTTTGGCGACAAGCCATGTCCGTGTCTGTAATATACAATCCAGATACTCAAAACTAGATGTATCTAATATATCTGCTGACAGTTGTCCGACTGAAAATGATATCCAATGGTCAACCTCTGTTCTTTCTTGAGCTTGGTCGCCACCTAGTACATATATGAAAATTTATTACAATAATAATTTATATATATACAACTGAAACAAATTTTAGAAAAACTTTCTTCTATTACTTGACATCATAAAATTATTTGTAAATTCTTACCATAAAGCTCTGAGTCTAATGTCCTTGCTAGATAACGAATAATATCATTATTACGTATTGCTAATAGTTTATTACTTTTGTTATCATATAAACCAGCCTTTCCTTGTTCTGCCAATTCTTTTTGCCAGATTATTGTCATATTATGTTGCTTCTGAGATTTGATCAGTTCAGCAACTATTATCACTTCTGTAGAAAAGATAAAATTTGTAACAATATTTATAGAGATTTATCCCAAAACCTAATAGCCATATAGACTCTATCTTCAGGATACATCATTGGGATGTACTCCTGTCAAGATCCAGGAATTAAATTGATATAAATATTGCTAAATGTCCATGAAGGACAGATTGCAATAAAAGGGGATGCTAAAATAAAAAAATAAAAGAAAAAGCATAGAGATTAATATCAATATATGAATGACATATATAAGATATTACAGATAATCTATTTTTTTTTATAAATGCGACATTTTAGGGAAAAATGTTTCAGACAAAGTTGTACAGTTTCAAAGGGGATATATAACAACTATATCATTTTGTTTACAGATAGCACCACTTTTGAGATATTCACTGATCATTACTTTTCTTAAATAAAAACCCCAATTTTTTATATCATATTTTTCTACCAAATAACTTGAATAACTTTTGTCTAAAATATTTTTCCGTCACGTTTATAAAAAAAAAAAAACAGGTATGGATGGTCTGTGACACCATATATATTGCATGATATAAGAAATTATATTCTTGCATCATGGAACATTTGATTGATTGACATATAATGAACGATAATAGAATCATTGGAAAATTCTACATCTTCAATATTTTATTGTTAACATAGAAATATTTAAATACGTGCTCTAGTTGCATAACAATCAAAAATGTTTTCTTGTTCTTAGTAAAACATCTGGAACGAGTTAATCAAGACGATAAGTACATTTGATTGTAAGAAACGTTATACCTTTCGAAGGATCGTAAGTATTGACACGGAGTGTAAAATCCATTTTAGTTTTCCTGACTTTTCTTCTCTGTTCCGTGCGTCACCTACTGCCGTACGAAGAATTAACTAGCAGATCGACACTGCGTGGCGAGCAGCCTGGCTCCCGGGTCCCGGAGGCAGAGTTGCTAGATGCAGAGAGAAACCTGAGAGCGGAAACCTGATAAGCGAAGGTTCAGAAATTATTATGAGTTCGACGCGCCCCCTGAGCAAATAGACGTCAACTACGTCGATGTCGCTCGGTAACGAGGTGTGTCTGTGATAGTTTGGTTCATATCTGAGCTACTACACAGAATATAGTAAAAATTACTATCAGAGAGAAGCCTAAAGCTAAGACTCCATGCATGCGGTGAGCTCCGGCAAACGGCTGCGGTGACCAATCAGGAAACAGACGCATGCCGGAGCTTGCCGCAACCGGACTTGCGCCTCCCTCCTGATTGGTCACCGCAGCATTTGCCGCAGCTCACCGCATGCATGGAGTCTAAAGCTAAGACTCCATGCATGCGGTGAGCTGCGGCAAACGGTTGCGGTGACCAATCAGGAGACAGACGCATGCCGGAGCTTGCCGCAACCGGACTTGCGCCTCCCTCCTGATTGGTCACCGCAACCGTTTGCCGCAGTTCACCGCATGCATGGAGTCTTAGCTTAAAGCTAAAGCTAAAGCTAAGACTCCATGCATGCGGTGAGCTCCGGCAAACGGCTGCGGTGACCAATCAGGAGACAGACGCATGCCGGAGCTTGCCGCAACCGGACTTGCGCCTCCCTCCTGATTGGTCACCGCAACCGTTTGCCGCAGTTCACCGCATGCATGGAGTCTTAGCTTAAGACTCCATGCATGCGGTGAGCTCCGGCAAACGGCTGCGGTGACCAATCAGGAGGGAGGCGCAAGTCCGGTTGCAGCAAGCTCCGGCATGCGTCTGTCTCCTGATTGGTCACCGCAGCCGTTTGCCGGAGCTCACCGCATGCATGGAGTCTTAGCTTTAAGCTAAGACTCCATGCATGCGGTGAACTGCGGCAAACGGTTGCGGTGACCAATCAGGAGGGAGGCGCAAATCCGGTTGCGGCAAGCTCCGGCATGCGTCTGTCTCCTGATTGGTCACCGCAACCGTTTGCCGCAGCTCACCGCATGCATGGAGTCTTAGCTTTAGACTCCATGCATGCGGTGAGCTGCGGCAAATGCTGCGGTGACCAATCAGGAGGGAGGCGCAAGTCCGGTTGCGGCAAGCTCCGGCATGCGTCTGTCTCCTGATTGGTCACCGCAGCCGTTTGCCGGAGCTCACCGCATGCATGGAGTCTTAGCTTGAGAGCGGCCACGCCGGCGTTTTTGGCGACATGCTTTTTGATGACTGATTTTAACGCCATCTGCGCCTATTTGTAGTCAGGAACTACGTTGACTACGCCCATTTGCAGATGCTGCCGGTAAAGTTTCTATTTGGTGCGTGTCTGTTCTACGCCCATTTACTGGCGGTTCGTGTCTGTGGTACGCCTATAATTGCGGGTTGAGAAACACGGCATCGCGCACAAACTTACACTTCGTTCAACAGCACATGATTCTTTTTCGGTACATATGCATTTCTATACATATTTTTGAAAAATTGCATCTTCTAATTATTATCCGAATTATTATCTCTTGTTACATTCGTAATTCGTAACAAGAGCAAGCGGTAATTTCCAGTTGACACAGAGTATTAGTTACATTACATTTATATTAAAATTTCGCACTCAACACCATCCCATATAGCACAGACAATTGCAGCAATATTGCTGTAATGTTGCAACATTGCACATTGCAGTGCAATATTGCAGAAATATTGCAAAAACAATATTTTGCATTATTATATTTGCAATGTTGCAATGTAGCAACATTTCAAATTGCGTTATTATTAAAAAATTATACAAGATATCGCTAAATAGAAGAGCACTTTTTCGTTCCTCTCGCTTAGTTCTACGCCCCTACAGAGTTGGTATGTTACAGTTATGGGACACTGTGTATAATATTTAATCACCACGATTTAGTTGTACAATGATTTAGTTTCATATCCCAAACTTAGACGTCTTATTAATTCAAGAATAGTTACCGCAAGTCTTTAAGACCTGTATTATTCCAAATAACAAGGTGACATCTTATTAACGTTCTATTGAGTCAATAAAACGGCGTCTTTTTAAGATATCATTTTATTCTTTGAAATATTACAGATCTTGGGAACTTTCTGTGACTATTCTTGGTTGATATCAGAAATGAAAACAATGGTATATTAATCTTTTTTTTTTCATGTACGTTAAAATAAGAGATTTCCATAAACCGACACTTATGATCGATTTTATAAATTTGTAAAATGTTCTGAACACTTTTCTTTTGCTGTATGATAATCATTCACTGTAAATAATTAATGAAATTTATACAAATATTGAGTTGAACATATTATCTCTCATGATTATTGTTACAGAATTTTTATGGAAAATTATTGATTGTCACAACAAGAGGAAAGTGTGTCCAGAATATTTTATAAATTTGTTAGATCGATCACAAATATCATCCTCTGGAATGTATCTATATAACAAAAACAATTTTTGGCATACGATCTTTGTCTTCTGCCGTCATTAAATAAAAATTTTTCAGAAGACTCTCAATATATACGGGGTACCCCATTTTAAAGGACCTACTCAAATATCTCAAAAATACTGCGTTAAACTGAAAAATATTTCAGACAAAAGTTGTTTGGCTTGAAGGGAAACATAAGACAGCGATAGCATTTTATTTGTAGATGGCATCACTTTCGAGATATTCACTGATCATCAATTTTCTTAAATAGAAATCCCAATCTCTTATTATATCATCTTTTCCTACCAACTAATTTGAACAACTTTTGTCTGAAACATTTTCTTATTTGCTTAATATTTTTTGAGATATTTAAGGAAACTTGGTAACTTTTTCACCATTTAATTTACGATATCTCGCTAACTATTCGTCGAAAGAAAAAATAGTATTAGACTTTTTTACTTTATTTACTATCAAGAATATATTACTATAATAATACCCTAACTTTTGTTGTAATTTAATAATTTTGAAATTTCCAAAGGTTGATAAGTTAACAAAAGTTAGGGCACTATTATAGTAATATGTTCTTGATAGTAAATAAAATACAAAAATAATACTATTTTTTCTTTCGACGAATAGTTAGCGAGATATCGTAAGTTAAATGGTGAAAAAGTTACCAAGTTTTCCTTAAATATCTAAAAGAAATATTAAGCAAATAAAAAAATGTTTCAGACAAAAGTTGTTCAAATTAGTTGGTAGAAAAAGATAATATAATAAAAGATTGAGATTTCTATTTAAGAAAATTGATGATTAGTGAATATCTCGAACGTGGTGCCATCTATAAACAAAATGCTATCGCTGTCTTATGTCCCCCTTTAAGCCAAACAACTTTTGTCTGAAACATTTTTCGATTTAACGCAGTGTTTTTGAGATATTTGAGTGGCTTCTTTAAAATGGGACACCCTGTATACACACACACACACACACACACATATATATATATGTGTGTATCTATATATATATAAAGCATTATTGCATACAAATTATATTACAAATATTGCTGCAATGTTACACTGCAATGTTACTGCAATATTTCATTGCAATATCGCTGCAAGCGGACATTTTACCTTTGCTGCAAGATTGCAGCAACATTGCAGTAACATTTCGCATCGTTTCTGCAATGTTGCAATCTTGCAAAACAACGTTGCTGCAATATTGCTGCAACGGTGCTGTGCTGTATGGGGTTTTTTTCGATGTACGAGCTTTTCTCTTAAAATTCTATCGACTATTCGCAGACTAATATGTTATTAGGAGTGCAAAAAAGTTCTGAGCCTTTTTTCGCAAAATTCAAAATTTATTTAAAAACAAACAAAACTATATTAATCAACGAAATATTCCCCGTTTGCATCGATGACCTTTTGCCATCTTTCGGGCAGTTTGCGAATTCCCTGATGGTAAAAGCTCACCGGCTTCGAGGCGATAAGAGTCATCAATGCATTTTCGTATCTTTTCAAGTGTCACAAAATGTGTATCAGTCAAGAAATGCTGCAGAGACCGGAATAGGTAGTAATCGGAAGGCGCCATGTCTGGGCTATACGCCGCGTGCGGGAGAAGTTCCCAGCCTAACGCAAAGATATCCTGAGTCACTTTCGCAACATGTGGTCGGGCATTGTCATGAAGCAATATCACTTTACAACGTCCTTTGCCAGTAAATGGCCTCTTCTTCAAACGCATCGCTCAAATTGCTCAATTGTTGCTGATAGCGATCTGCCGTTACTGTTTCACCCGGCTGTAACAACTCGTAATACAATACACCTTTCCAATCCCACCATATGCAAAGCAAAACCTTCTTGGCGTGGATATTGGTCTTTGGCGTCGATGTCGAAGGTTGACCAGGGTCAACCCATGATTTTTTACGCTTCGGATTATCATAAAGTATCCACTTTTCATCACCTGTAATGATTTGGTGCAGAAAATCCTTTTTTCGGAATCTTGAAAGCAAAGTGAGTGCCGTGTCACGCCGTCGATTTTTGTTGTCTTCGGACAGTGCAAGCGGAACCCATCTGCCTTCCTTTTGACCTTTTCCCATTGCATGTAAACGTGTGGAAATGGCTTGTCGCGTAACGCCAAGTTGCTCTGCAAGGTCCTTTTCAGTTTGTGCAGAGTTTATATCCAACAATGCTTGCAGTTCGTCCGTTTCAATCTTTTGAGGGCGTCTAGCACGCGGTTCATCTTCAAGACTGAAATCTCCTTGGCGAAATTTTTGATACCACCTTTTACACGTAGCATAACTTACAGCGTTCTCTCCATATGCAACACAGATCATTTCAGTGGCTTCAGCAGCATTTTTCTTCAGATGAAACGCGAAGTGGATGGAAAATCGAATATGCTCTTTTGTTATTGCCATCGTGAACACTGCTGATTTTAAGGTTATGTGCATCAAACGCCAAATAGCACGATGTTTCGAAAGACCAAATGTCACTGCTTTAAAACCGCAAGAGGGCGGGAAAATTAATGCAATTTAAATTGTGGTTTCAGTAGTATGAAATCTAGGGCTCAGAACTTTTTTGCGCTCCTAATATATGTGTCATATGTTCGAAGTGGATACCGTTCTATTAATTGCTCGTCTATATTAATATTCATTTCCGAAATGTGACTTGTAAGAACAGTTGGTATGTGTTCTCTCCGATTTATACTTCTTCAGGCAGTTCTTCCACTTCAATATGTCTCCTTTTCTTCATTTGTTCTACATTTTCATTAACATGTTCGCTCTCGAAATGAATTGGAACCGCATCCAATTTTAAACGTTTTTTCGTGCTTGTCAGAAATGATGCATCATTGAAATGGTCTTTGCACAATCCCGCGTATCTAAGGGAGTGAGAAGACCATTTTTCTAACTTAGTATTTCCTGCAACAGAAATGAAATAAAAAACATTTGTGTGTATATATCTGTGTATAATTTTCATTTATTTATTTAATATAATTTTTCTATATAAAATCATCTTTAGTTTATTTTAAGATGCTTCGTTCACATTGACTGTGTTCAGCAGAAAAACTTACTATACGTTATTCGAATGAAAAACGTAAAATATGTGAATTTTATTGATATATATCCATATAGAACAAATATCCAATTTGCATGTCATGAATATTCTCTAGACATCGCAATATCTATCGGATATCCATTGGATGTATTTTGGATATTTGTTCAGTATGGGCAAATTTCGGTAACTCATGAAGCAACCGCAGTGTACAAATAGAATAAGTGAAAAAAATTAAAAAAGTTATACCATTTTGTAATTTTCTCAACATTTACTCTGTAATTAATTAAAATGTATAAGCGAATAAGTGCACGGGAAGAGATACAACGAGCTCTGAAAAACGTTTACTTCTTAGCAACGATAAGTAACAACTCATTTCGGAGGTACGCGGCGGTGTGTTATATACAAATGACATGCAAAGCAGAATTCACGACGAAATCTCGTGAATGTGAAATAATATTTTTGAATACATTTTATGCTAGGATATTATTATAATCAAAGCCGCAAGGATGAGATATGAATTAAAAAAAAAAATAAATTATTATTATATAATTTCATATTTGTTTTCCATTTTTTTTTACAAAAGAAACTCGTGTGTGTGTGTGTGTGCGTGTGCGCGCGCGCGCGCGCGTGTGTGTGTGTGTGTGTGTGTGTGTGTACGAATGTATGTGTCTACCTCAATAAAATATTTTTATATATTATATATAACAATACATCCGCCTTTTCCGCCTCTACTTCCTCTGCCGCTTCTGCCAACCCTATCGCCTCTGTTAGTTCCTTTGTTTCCTCTTCCTCGTCCTCTTTCTACTAGCTGTAGCAGCATCGAGAGTTGTGCCTGAAGACTGAAAAAAATACATATATGCACACATATAGACAGAGAATCCGGTAAGTCGTCAAGCAGCAACCATGTACAAATAGATTTTGTAAAACTGAAGTGATATATTATTGTTAAAATCACGAAATATGAAAAGAACAGAGAGAGTTTTTTTATTTATTCCACGATCACGGACGAGAATACCGCACGAATGACGATCAAGAAACTGATATCCGATTTATATCGATATATAAATATATGGTAATAAGATGATATTTTTTGTACCCGAAATTATTTTCCCAAGATATTTCAGCGTTACGTTATTATTTATTTATACTCCAGCAGGCGTTTTCTAACGTAGTTGTGTTCGTGTGCATATGCGTGTTGCATTTAAAGTGTACGTGACGTACGTGTACATACGCGCACTCACATACACACACACGCGTGTTATACGCCACAGAGAGAATCTCAGGGCATATACTTAAACATTTTTCAATCACCGTAAGTTTCTGTGTGAGAATGCAGTCGGCACACACGCACGCACGCACGCACGCACGCACGCACGCACAATAAAATTACTTAATTCAATTCAATAAATGGCTCTGAGCAAAATAGGGTACTGCTCCAACGCCACTCTCACGGTGTAGGTAGATTAAATTCTGTAAGGCTATTTTCCAGTAAAGGTAAAAGAAAACAGGGACAACACGTATGCAGTCCCACGATCAAAAAATATGCGTAGTTACAGGAACCACATCCAACCGCCACGGAGGTGAACAAAAGACTTAAAATAAAATTATTTCAGATTCTACTTACAAGAGTGTCACCTATAAACGTAGTTTAGGATACAATGGAGTCCTCCTACTTCGCTTTAGTAATTTATCTTGCACTTGATTAAGTAGAATTATTATAAGAATAATCGATTATGGTTGGTCCATTTTTTACTGCTTACGCTTACAACCTTATTCTTGCAGCCATTGTAGATGGACCTTAACAATAAGGACCAATAGTTACTAAACTAAATAAATAAATAAATAAATTCACGCAGTTAACATGCCTTTTTTATAAAGTGGATGTGCTTCTAACACTTTCATCACGTTCCGCTGTTTTCGGATTGAAAACATTTTTCTTTTTAACGGTACGCGATTTACGAAGATTATCAGAACTCCGAAGTTCTCTTAAACCTTTTTCACGTCCCATAATAAATTATTCAAAATAATTTTTTATAAACGCACAAGTATCAAAATTATTTTTTATGAACGCACAAGTATCGACTGCTCAGTGCAACTGCCACAGATATACTGACGCCTAACCTAAAATTTAACCGTTTGAATGCGGCGAAGTGATATCGCGCTTCTCTTGTGTTGTGCCAAAAATGCGTAGAAGCGCGATCGCGCTGCTGTTTGTTATTAAGAATTAAGGTCATTCTACAATACGTGTCGTAAGTTGTAAGCCGTAAGAATTGGCGAATCACAGTCGATTATTACAAAAATAATCGGCTATAATTGGTCAGTTCTTACGGCTTACAACTTACGACTGTATTGTAGAATGACCTTTAATCTCTTAAGGTCATTCTACAATACGTGTCGTAAGTTGTAAGTCGTAAAAATTGGCGAATCACAGTCGATTATTACAAAAATAATCGGCTATAATTGGTTAGTTCTTACGGCTTACAACTTACGACACATATTGTTGAATGACCTTTTAAGGCTCGTCTACAATAGCTGTAAAAGTAAGGCTGTAAGACTGTAACTGTAAGGCTGTAAGCTGTCAGCGAATGAAAATATTTCATTTCATGTCTTGCAACCTTACAGCCTTACTCTTACAGCTAATGTAGACGAGCCTTTACGACTTTACGACTGCAACATATTATTTTTGTAATAATCGACTGTGATTCGTCAATTTTTACGACTTACAACTTACGACACGTATTGTAGAATGACCTTTCACGACTTTATGACCCCATTGTAGACGTAGCATAATACCTCGTCTACAATAGAAGTCATAGAGTCGTAAGTCGTACAAATTGACCAATCGCGGTCGATTATTTTTCTCTTACCGGACTATGATTGGTCAATTTCTACGACTTACGACTCCACGACTTCTATTGTAGACGAGGTATAAGCAGTAAGAAGTAGGCGTAAGCGGTAAGAAATAAACAAATCACAGTCGATTATGACAAAAATAATCAACTGTGGTTAGTCCATTTCTTACTGTTCACGCTTTCTTCTTAAGGTTATTCTACAATGAGGTTGTAGTAGTATGCAGTAGGCAAATTGACCAATCATAGTCGATTATTCTTCGATCGTAAAGAGAAGAATCGATCGTGATTGGTCAATTTGCCTACTGCATACTACTACAACCTCATTGTAGAATGACCTTTACTGCTGTAACGTCCCACCATATTAAAATTCCCTATCTTCTCACCAAAACTCACCATACCTTTTCCTACCCAATCAAATCCTTACCTATCATCGACTAATCCAACTGCAACGCCTCCTACAAACACCTCTGCAATCAACAGGTACCTCTGCCGTCTTTTATCGTTAATATAATATAATATCATTAATACTCGAAACTATTTACTGAATCATCATCTATCTTCTTCTTTCTCTCTCTTCTTTCTACCTTCTTGCTTCGTTTAGTAAGCGATAGATTATCAAACAACTAAATAACATAAAAATAATCATAAATAGCATATTTTGAAATAAAATTAACATTAACATAAGACTGAAGCAGACATCGACATAGTAAATATATAAAATACGAAAAGAGAGAATAAGAAAATTTAAGAAATAAATTTAGAGCTAGTTTATAAATTCATTTATCTTGGGGACTAAGAACGATTTCATTCGGGCACAGCCGCGCACATATTGGAATGTGTTTATGTTATAGATATCATCGAGTGATAGCTGTCCCACGTTCTGCGAACTAAACAAAGACCTGAAACAAAGACTCGAAGAGGAAAATAATTTCCTTTTTTCTTCTATTTTTCTTCTTTTTAAATATTAAATAATTGCCATCATATTTCGCAAATAATTCCTCAAATATTATTGTCAAACCGCCTATCCTAATGTATATGCGCTTTAGAATTGTAAGAGGATTTATTCGTATTATTTAATTTTAATGATTACTACGCCCGAATGAAATAATTCTTTTAAGTTTCCAAATTCTTATATTATACTAAAGGAAATCAATAACAACATATCCATTTCTTTGTAAAACATAATTTTATTAATAAATCAGCCAACAACGAGACAACTGAATTACCAAACGCTACATATGATTAAGTATAATTTTAATTACTAGATAATAACATTTTTATATTTTTTAACCAATAAATAATGAAGGGTGAATTAGGAAAAGACGCTCAATTGATATCCATATCCATAGTGCCGGGCTTGGGTACAAAAAGGGCTCGGCCCTTCGCGCGCAGGCAGTCTCTCGTCAGTCTCTAAGCAGTCTCTCGTTAGTCTCTAAGCAGTCTCTTGTTAGCCTCCAATTAGCCATCAGACAATCTTTCACTGAGCCTCTTGTTAGCCGATTGTCAAAGGGTCTTGAGCCTGGAATCAAAAGGTCGGTATTAAAGATTATTGTTCTTGGGACTCCGTCTGCAAATGCTAAGACGCTTGTTAAGACGTAAAATCCAAATCATTAAAGGTCGAACGAGCCTCTTTTCCTCATAATGATCCTATAGAGAATCATTTCTATTACTTGAATAAGTATTGAGCCAGCTATTAACTACATTAAATTTAGTGTATGAATTTTTAAACTTAACAATATAGAATAATTTCATAATATACAGGGTGCACGATTTATCTGAAGACATTGAAATATCTCGAGAACTATGCATTGGATAAAAAAAAGTGGTTAATGAAAGTTGTTAGTTTCGAAGGGGGACATCCAATGATACCAAACTCGACCTCCCACCCCACCTCCTGGGGGTGGGGGTTGGGAGTAACTTTGAAATCTTAAATGGAAATCCCCATTTTTTATTGCAGATACGGATTCTACGCCACAAAATACGTAAATTTTGTTCGAAACTTTTTTTTTATTCGTGATAGATGGCGCTGTAATCGCAAAAAATTATATTTTCCGCAATTCTCCAGAAATGATCATTGGATTGAGAAATAAAAAATATCTGTTCAATATTTTTAAATCAACAAGTGCCAACAACTCGTGAAAACATGGTAGAACGCATAAGAAACGCTTGCGCTGAAACTCCCGCAGATATGCTTCTATCCTGTGTACAGTCATTTGAAAAAAGGATCAATAAGTGTATTGAAGTTGAAGGTAAAAATTTCGAACACTTACTCTAATTAATTGAACAGTGAGAGGCAAGGGGACTCACATTAAAAAAGCACCCCGATCTGTGAGAGGCAAGGGGACTCACATTAAAAAAGCATCCAAAGGGAACATAAAACTACTACGTCCTCGTCGTTGTTCCTGTGTAACGCTAAAAGTAGTTTCTCGGAAAAATTCAACGCTATCTATCACGAATGAAAAAAATTGTTTCAATAAAAATTTCACGTACAATCTAATTCTGCAATGAAAAATGTGGGTCCCCATTTGAGATTTGAACGTTATCACCCACCCTACCCCGAGAGGATGGGGGGGAATAACTTTTATGTTCTTTAAAAATATTGAACAGGTATTTTTTATTTCTCAATCCAATGATCATTTCTGGAGAATTGCGGAAAATATAATTTTTTGCGATTACAGCGCCATCTATCACGAATAAAAAGAAAAGTTTCGGACAAAATTTACGTATTTTGTGGCGTAGAATCCGTATCTGCAATAAAAAATGGGGGTTTCCATTTAAGATTTCAAAGTTGCCCCCAACCCCCACCCCCAGGAGGTAGGGTGGGAGGTCGAGCTTGGTATCATTGGATGTCCCCCTTCGAGACTAATAACTTTCATTAACCACTTTTTTTTATCCAATGCATAGTTCTCGAGATATTTCAATGTCTTCAGATAAATCGTGCACTCTGTGTATATGTGTGTACAGATTTCTTTACCTCTCTTCTCTCTTATCATCTTCAATCTTTTTCCAGAACGCCGTGCTTGAACCACGAGCACCGTTCTTCTTTTCTTTACCTTAAGAGTGTTGTGCTTGAATCACGAGCACCATTCCTCCCTTTTTATCAGAACGCAGTGCTTGAACCACGGGCACAGTTCTTCTCTTCCTTACTTTAAGAGTGTTGTGCTTGAACCACGAGCACCATTCGCCTTTTTATTTTTCAAACTTAACCACGTCCCTTCCATCTACTCTATTATAGATATTGTTAAAATAAATATTACCTAAAAATCTTTCATGCCGAAAAGAACAAGAAGAGCCGGACGGCGGATTCAATTTAGACGTCTGTTGAAAAGTTATTATAATCCAGGCACGCTCGACCTGGCTGTTTTCAAAACAGATTTATCTAAATCTTCGGTCTCGAGAATAAAATCTGAAATAAAGGGAAATATATTTGAAGTTAAATTCAACACTAGCGAGAATACTATTATTTTTAAACCTAACAGTAACCCACCTCCAAAGGAAACAGATTCAAATAATAAGGATTTGGACAAGAATAGCGCTGATCCGAAGTAAACCAAACAAATCTAGACATTGCATGTTCTATGCTTGTCCAGGACGTAACACTGCTTACAGTCATTGTAGACCACGTTTTAAGGTCATTCTACAGTACGTGTCATAAGTTGTAAGCCGTAAGAATTGGCGAATCACAGTCGATTATTACAAAAATAATCGGCTATAATTGGTCAGTTCTTACGGCTTACAACTTACGACACGTATTGTAGAATCATGACCTTTAAGGTCATTCTACAATGAGGTTGTAGTAGTATGCAGTAGGCAAATTGACCAATCACAGTCGATTTTTCTTCGATCGTAAAGAGAACAATCGATCGTGATTGGTCAATTTGCCTACTGCATACTACTACAACCTCATTGTAGAATGATCTTTAGAAATTGCGCTACGCCTTGCGTCCTACAACCTACTCTCTACTGCACATAACTACAACCTCATTGTAGAATGACCTTAAACTGTCAGCCAATGAAAATATTTCATTTCATGTTTTGCAACCTTACAGCCTTATTTTTACAGCTAATGTAGACTAAAGGCTCGTCTACAATAGCTGTAAGAGTAAGGCTGTAAGGCTGTAACGTAAGCTGTCAGCGAATGAAAATATTTCATTTCGTGTCTTGCAACCTTACAGCCTTACTCTTACAGCATGTAGACGAGCCTTTAAGCCCTAGATTATCAAAGAAGCGCAACCGTTACCCTCTCCATAGTTCCCGTCCGACATGTAAGGCCCACAGCTGATCCGTTGAGTAAACAAAGTATCTATATGTCAGGCATACTCTCTTTTATCACTCTCAGATATATTTATTAT